GAATACCTGGTAGATCATGGGGTGTCCTTGGAAGACCCAATGTGAGAAAGTTCTTATAGATTAGAAACTTTAACTCAGGAGTGTCAAACTGCTAGCCCGCAGGCCGGATGCATCACATGGAAGCCACGCCTACCCCATTGCTGGCAATGGCAAAACTGTCCCGATACATTGCGCGACGTCACGTGACATCGCATGTTTGACATGTCTGCTTTAATTTGATGACTCTGCATTTAGCTGCACAATAATTTATGGATTTTAGCCTGTCTGAGGCTCTGCCGGGTCATATTTGCAAGCATTGGATGCTGAAGCTGGGCTGTAGGTTAGGCGAGACAAACCTGGATGCCAAGAGAGTATCTACTGTGTTGAAATTAACTCAGGTGTTTCTACTTTCTGCTACTGTACCACACCCAAAGAACCAGACTTGAGGTGATATTAGCAAGCAAAATGCATAAAAGCATGCCGATGAAAACATTTCAAGAATGTTCTTTTTATGGACATGTTTCACCGTTACGTAAGAGAGACATTCAACACATAACAACATCCTGAACTGATTGAACTTGGGTTCAACACATTCAAATCTGAAATAAAGCATTATGGTGGATGGCATTAAAAGATGAGGTAACCAACGACATCCCCCGTTTTTAGAATGAGAGTGCAAAAATATTTCAAAAGAGGAAAGCTTGCCTAATGCTAACCACACTCTCTGAAAATAGTTTAGTACAGTGGTTCTCAACCTGTGGGTCGGGACCCCATTTGGGGTCGAATGACCATTTCACGGGGGTCGCCAAACAAGGCTGTCCACCATTTTTCCCCCTTTTCTTTGGCCACGCCCCTGGCACCCAGTGATGTATAAGTGGTTGGGGGTCACCACAACATGGGGAACTGTATTATGGGGTCGCGGCATTAGAAAGGTTGAGAACCACTGGTTTAGTATGACCTAGTTTCGATGCTATTTCTCCATAACATTCTCTTTTCCAGCATGGCCAAGCTACAGAGATGGATAAATCTATCTGTGAGGGTGGATGTTCATTCTACAGCTTGTGGGTTGGTGTCCGAACACTTCGTTACCAGGCTGGGTAACATCTTCAGAGGAGTTTAGACAGTGGTGGAATTCAAATACCTGAACAACCGGTTCTCTTATTTGATGCAGGCCTGGGCCTACAAGGCCTAGAATGGACTTCTGGAAGTGGTATCCATGCACTTCTGGTGGGCTGTTCTAGGCCTGGGAGGACTCTCAGGCCTAGAACAGACTTCTGGAAGTGGCATCCACACACTTCTGGTGGGCCGTTCTAGGCCTCGGAGGCCCAGAACAGACTTCCAGAAGTGGTATCCATGCACTTCTGGTGGGCCGTTCTAGGCCTGGGAGGCCTCCTCCAGGCTTCCGAGGCCTAGACGGGACTTCTGGAAGCCAGCCGGTTCTCCGAATGCAAAAAAATTTAGCTACCAGTTCGACCGAACCGGTGTGAACCGGTTGAATCCCACCACTGACTTTAGGGGATGTCCATGTTCTTCTGTTTATAAGGGCTTCAGGTGTGGGTGTGTCACGTGAGGCTCATGTGATGGGTCAGGTGTGGGCCATTAGTGAGGGTCTTGTGATGGGTCTTGCAATGGGGAGGTTACGTCAGATCAGGGTCATTAGGAGGTGAACTGTTGGTGGGAAGGGAAAGGGGGCTTGCATGGGTGGGTTGAGGCTCAGTGCTGTCTTTGGTGGGCTGTGTGGTTGATTTGGATCCTGAGGGGTTCAAAGGCTGGCTGTGGGTTGATGTGTCTGTGGATGGAAGTGCTTGTGGAGTGTCAGGACTTTGATGAACTCACAAGCGTGGTGGGTGGTACCCTGGCCGATGGTTTTTGGGTTGCTCCAATCGAACTGGTGCTATTTGGTGTCGGTGTGGGTAGAGACTACTAGACAACTAAACTCTACTGAAGGTATTACCTAGCCTATCCTGGTAATGAAACATTCGGAAACCAACCCACAAGCTCGGAGAATGCAACTTCATCCTCATGCTACACCCAAACTGCAGATATTTGCCACTATTGCAAAACTATCTATCTAGCCCATGTCCATGGACACCCAAGAGAAGATAAGAGATGATCCATGTATCATGGTGATCACTTACTTACATCAGAAGTTGTGATGCAAATATTGAGTTGTTCTTGGCATGAGGCTGTCACTAAATGTGTGTCATCCTTTCAGTATTACTGTACTTTGTTACAAGTGTGTTGCTTTCTGTGTTTGTAACGGTATGTGAGAATGACCTTGGGGGATGAGGGAAGAGTCACACAGTCAAGGAAAAGATAAGTTAAGAAGCAGCTTCCTAGCTGTAGAAGGACCGTGGGTGTGGTGAATATACCCTTCCTAATTTTTTGGGCTGTAAAGGTGACGAGGGATGATATGTGCTTTCAGACTGGCAAGACCCTGTTAATGCAACCTTACAACAAAGAAGAATTAGTTCATCTGAATATGCTTCCTGGCTGAATCATCTTCCAAAGCTGACAGTGTTTCTTTGAGGTTTTTAATTATTATTATTCCTACAGTGATTAAAAGATGAAAATGTGTATTTGAATGTTTAACGTATGTCTCAATGAAGCTTCCCTCGAAATATATATATCAATCTATCCATCTAAATGGATGGATGGGAGGATGGATGGATGGATGGAATAAATAGTATTAGATAGATGATAGTACATGGAAGGAAGGAAGGAAGGAAGGAAGGAAGGAAGGAAGGAAGGAAGGAAGGAATAGATATATTAAATAGATCATAGAAGATGGATGGATGGATGGATGGATGGATGGATGGAAGAAAGATAGATAGATAGATAGATAGATAGATAGATAGATAAACAGAGATGGATGGATGGATGGATGGATAGATGGAAGGAAGGAAGGAAGGAAGGAAGGAAGGAAGGAAGGAAGGAAGGAAGGAAGGAAGGAAGGAAGGAAGGAAGGAAGGAAGGAAGGAGCAATAGATAGTATTAGATAGATGATAGAAGATGCTTAAAAAGACAGGTATTTAAATGTATCTCCCAAAATACATCTTGGAATTTCCAGCCCCCAAATTAATTCCTTTTTTGTCTTGCTAAGAACTGCAACATCCGATAAATAGCCATGTTTTTCACCAAGGATTAACCTGAGCATCAGCTCCAGGCAGGCATCACATTCTATAAAAGCCAGAGGTTACAAAACAAGTCTAAAAATTGCCCTATGTATTTAATAAAAGGATGTAAATGGCATATGTCAGAGTTATTTCCTTTGTAATTAAGAAAGCAGCCTAGGTTGGAAGAATGTAAATTGATGCTGTTGTAATTACTTGTTACACTTTTATCGGAATCAGGCATGCAATTTATCCAAGTACCTCTAAGTAAATTGCATGCAGCACACTGTAATTCAACCTCCAATTTATATTTGACTTCCAGCAATTATCTTACTTCATCTTCTCCTACTTTACTGAAAAAAGAAAATCATTATAGAACAGAGAGAAGAATATTGACAAAATGTGGGTACTATTTTTTTTGTTTGTTAGTTAGTTACCATTAGTTGCGTGTGATCTATACTTATATATCACACATTTTATGTATAGGGTTGTATGTGTGTTTGTGTGCAACTAGGTATGCATTTGTGGCAGTAGGATACAGGAAACCTACTTAATGTAAACCTGTGCCACAATTTCTAAGACTGTGGAGATTCTCAATCATATGGGTCAAAGGTGCTTCTCAAAAGACTTTCTTGGTTTTTTTCCTTGAAATAACAGAATAACAGTTGGAAGGGACCTTGGAGGTCTTCTAGTCCAACCCTCTCCTCAAGCAGGAAAACCTATCCCATTTCAGTCAAATGGTTGTCCAATCGCTTCTTAAAAATCTCCAGGGTTGGAGCATCCACAACTTCTGTAGGCAAGTTGTTCCACTGGTTAATTGTCCTCACTGTCAGGAAATTCCTCCTTAGTTCTAGGTTGCTTCTCTCCTTGACTAGTTTCCATCCGTCGCTTCTTTTTCTGCCCTCAGATGCTTTGGAGAATAGCTTGACCCCCTCTTCTTTCTGGCAAAACCCCACAAATTAAAACCCTGCTATCATGTCACTCCTGGTCCCTTCTCTTCATTAAAGTAGATAATTCCAGCAACTGTTCTTCCTATGTCCCCTGATCCTCTTTGTTGCTCTTCTCTGCACTCTTTTCAGAGTATCTTTTTTCATATCATGGTAACCAAAACTGGAAGCAATCATTTCACTTCTTATCCAAGAAGCTTCTTTAGTTCAGTCCTTCTTCAGTTCTGAACTGAAAAAGCTTCCTGCATGAGAAGCAAAATGTTTTCGAGGAAAAAAACCCAGAAAGTGCTTTAGAAAAGCACCTTTGGGATAATTTCTATGCCTGCATATATCAGAAATATTTCCCTGTTTCACTCAGTGGAGCTTACTCATCAGAAAGCACCTACAGAACTGTGTAAATTGCAAACCACAAATAAACGGTCTTGGTTTTGAGAAAACAAGCCCCCAATCTTTTACAACGCAGGAGAACCACTTCGAATTAAATTCAGACTTAATGCTAGACATTAATTAACTTGCTCCTCGCTTTGCATGCTGTTCATGACCAAGAAGCATGTTTACCAAGCACACCAGCCACAAAGCTGCAACAAAGCACAGCTGACATCTCCTGTGCTTAAAAAGTTGCCTGGGGGGGGGGGAAGGAGAACCATACAATGTGTGGTTTTATAACTTGGTGAATGTCATCACAGCCCACTGTGGCTTATTCTACAAAGCACAGGTCGGCGTGAAATGGGAGCCCAGCCGTAACTGCCAAGTACTTTTAGCTGTTGTTGAAACATCATATGATTGGCATTTAACAGCATAAATACTGCACTAAATGGCCCGAGTATTAGTCATAGATTGTCAAACTAAACAGAGCATAGTAGTTTGTAAAAGGAACGCTAAGCAACAGAAGGTGCATTAACTGAAAAGAACAAAAAAAAAAAAATTGGCACGCAACCAAGGCCAAACAAAATTGACTCACCAAGCAAGTTCTTCCTGACTTCCAGCAACACCCTGTTCTTGCTATGTTCTTGACTGCCTCCTTATTTGGACAGTCCAGGTCACAGAGCCCTTTAAGAGAGGCATCAAATTCTTCTCAAAGACGGCTTGTCTTTACCCAACAACAAAAAACAGTTCTTCACCTGGTCACAGTGTTTACATTGCAAGTATCCTCCAGGTGAGTTCCTTCTACAGTATGGATGCAACTCTGTAGTTGGGCTACCGTATTCTCCCAGATTGTTTTTGTTTTGGATTTCCTAGTGGTGTGCTATCCGGTGTTAGGTTTTTGAGATCAGCCAAGACAAGGTAGATTTTACAGCCCGTGTCTTGATGACTTAGCAGGAAATCAAAGCCTCGAGTCAAGGTAATAGAAAACTGGAGCATAATGTCAGTTGAACTAGGCTTAGATGCCTGTTGTTACTACAGGTGTGCTTAAAATGTATTAACTGGCATAGTCAGCCCACAATGTCCTTCTTTTGAGTAAGCCTCGAAGACCTGGCACTTCCCTAAGTCCTAAGATGAGGAGACTTTGGTGGTGGTGGTGGTGGTGGTGGGGATTATAAAATTAATCACTTCACGCAGATCATCTTGTTAGAGGTTTTTTTTTTTTTAAAAAAAGTTGTTTTTATTGTAAGCCATCCAGAGTTGAGAGACTTGAGAAGTTCTATCAATTTAATTTAACAAATCAATAAGTAATTCATCCCAAATAATAAAGTCCCAACCCAATTCTAATTCTTCTCCTTCTCCTTCTCCTCCTCCTCTTTCTCCTCCTCATTCCCCTTCCCTCTCCTTTTTCCTAAGCCATGTAATTTTTTTTTTTTTTTCATTTTATTATAAGACTACTTAGCCTGAATAGCTCGGTTGTGAGCTGGATCAGAAAGGCTCCAATTTAATCTCTAGCCTTTTCCAGGGAGAACAACATCCAGAGCGCTATATTACCAAATCGGTATTACCAATACTAATAGTGGCCTCAGATGATCTTCATCAGTTTCCATTCCAAGGTGTCTCTTGCACCTTGAATGGACAGCTTCACAATAAGGCAGGCGTAGAAAGTAGATATTCTGGCCCACAGTTTTCAAAGCCGCAAGCCAAGGACGTAGATATCGTTGCGATGAAAATGCTCTTTGTTCTCAGTCGCCGTCTCACTTGAAAATCCTGCTTCTTTATCAAGCACAAAGTTAAGAAAAGTCCCTTTTAGATGGAAGTAAAAACCCTGACCTTTACACAGCCAGAGGAAAGCACAACAGGCAGTTGTGTCCTTCTCCAACCAGGAACATTCAAGATGAAAAATTAATCATGTGACCCTTTCCCCCCCTCCTCCGCAAGGTTTCTTTATAACAAGCCGAAAAGTCCTTTAATTTCCAAGTCATAGTTCTTTATCAGATTTACACCAAGGATGCCAAGAATTCAAGCAGTGGACGCCACTAAGAGGCATCCAATTATGCTCAAATATGCACGTTTTTAGAAGCAAACGTCCCTAACACAGTGAATTTCACCAAGGCACAGAAAAACAATTGGCAATTTTGACCTTACTTAAATCAAAAGATTAAGATTAAAATAACCTTTATTGTCATGTTTTACTGTGGGCATACTGGCACACATGAAAAATGAAATTCTGTTGCCTGCTCTCAAAATGTGTACACGTACATCACACACATATAGATGTAATATATGCATATATACGTGTATATCCACAGCCTTGCATATAAATACACATAAATACACATAAATATTAAATACACATAAATATTAATCTTGAATGCATAGCAGAAAGAGGAACGTGGCTAAATTGGGATTCCCAAAATACCAATGGCTCCAAATATCTCTTAGCGGCATTTCACCCCTGTCCTATTTCAAAGCCACAAATTTGTTGTAAATATTTGGGGCAACTTCCAGCACACTAGTCTTTCAGACTCATACTACATTTCCCTGGATGTAAATGCATGGAATGTAGTCCTCCTTTCTAAATAAACACACAGAGCTGGCCCAAAAATGCTTTTTTTTTTTTTTACACGAGGCAACTGGACTTTGTTTTTCTTTGAAGATGTTTCGCTTCTCATCCAAGAAGCTTCTTCAGCTCTGACTGGATGGTGGGGAAGGGAAGGATTTACATTCCTTGCAGACAGCTGCTCATTCGCCTTCTTCTAGAGCAGTGGTTCTCAACCTGTGGGTCAGGACCCCATTTGGGGTCAAACAACCATTTCACGGGGGTCGCCAAACAATGCAGTCCGCCATTTTTCCCCCTTTTCCTTAGCCGTGCTACTCCCTTTTATTCTATTGGCTTTTGAAAGCCAATAGAATAGACTCTCTTGAATAGAGTCTAGTTCTATTGGCTTTCCAAAGCCAATAGGAATTGTCCAGGCTGTCTCTGCCCTGCTGAGCCCCCCAAAAAGTTCCATTCTGCAAACGGTGCTGCACCAGTTGAGTAGTCCTCGACTTACGACCGGTTGAGTAGTCTTCGACTTACGATCGGTTGGGAGTCGCGGCATTAAAAAGGTTGAAAACCAATGTTTTAGAGAGTCCTTGAGGCCATTTGGAGGTTTACCTGTGTCCTCAGGGTCACCTGAGTGGTGCAAATGGGTGTGGAGCCTTCTTGGAACTGCTGAAAGGATTTGTGTTATGGACTGGAGATAGATGATGTTGTATCCCTTCCCCTCTATTCAGTTTTGACACAGATGGCCTCTTTGACCCCTCTTTCAAACCGTTTAATCCTCTCTGTCCAAAATGTGGACTTTGCTGTCTTCAAAAAAGTGGCCTTTGTCTTTTAAATGCAGATGGACTGCTGACTTTTGTCCTGAGGTGTTGTGCCATGCGTTTAGGTCTTCAAAGAAAAACCAGGAAGTAACAGCAGCAAGGCTATTGGTAGGTCAATATTGGAAGAAAGATTCGTTGCCTACTATAGAAGAATGGACACTTAAGGTTTCTAACTTAGCAGAACTGGCTAAATTTTTTCTTATTTAAAGGATCATACACAAGTAAGAAATATTATGGTATGGAGAAGATGGACAGATTATATTCAGGTTAAATATGGAACTAAAAAGTTTCATTTATTTTATGATTAAATTTTAAATAATAATTATTATTAATAGTATTTTATAATGGAAATTATTTAGTTTATTTACTGTTTTTATGGTTCTTTATCATTGTTTTAAAATGGATTTGTTTATAATATTATGATATTGAGGTTTAAAGGGAGTTAAGGGTTAAGTAGGAATTTAGTTATTGTATAATTTCTTAAATTTAATTAGATTTTGTTTAATATGTTTGTAATAACCCTGTACTCGGCTCTGGGAAGTGGGGGGGCTAGGGGGTGGGGGTGGGGAGGGTTTGTGGGTTTAAATTTTTTTTGTTAATTGTCAATAAAACTTTTTCAATTAAAAAAAAAAAACAGAAAGTCCAGTTGCTTTGTAAAAAAAAAAAAAAAAACATGACCTGGATGACTGAGAACCTCCTTAGAAACACAGAGCTGGACTTCACCCCTCTAAAAATTAGTGACATGGGGACTTAAAACAGAATAAATTTAGAGCTTTCAGGGGACCCATTCGTGGGGAAGTTTGAATGAATTTTGTCTTCTCTTAAGAGTGGTGCCTCTTAAGAATATTGTCCCATCACTAACAACCCTGTAAGACATAACAGATAGGATGGGATGGGCGAGGAAGAAGGAGAGGAGATTGGAAAGCTTTTGTTGCTTACATCATCTTTTAGTTTTCCTATGTTTCGGCATGCTCCATAATCCTCATTCCTTAGGGAAGAACTACAGTTTCTAAAATGTTCTCCTTGATTCAAAAGTTCCAACATTGTTGAAGGGGACACTACCAGCTATCCTAGGGATGTAATTGCAGGAATTTGGTATGTCTAATCAGGGGGGAAAGAAGGACAAGGGGAGGCATGATGGCAGGATTCCAATATCTCAGGGGCTGCCCCAAAGAAGAGGGAGTCAAGCTATTCTCCAAAGCACCTGAAGGCAGGACAAGAAGCAACGGGTGGAAACTAATCAAGGAGAGAAGCAACCTGGAACTAAGGAGAAACTTCCTGACAGAGAGAACAATTAACCAGTGGAACAACCTGCCTCCAGAAGTGGTGAATGCTCCAACACTGGAGGTTTTGAAGAAGCGATTGGGCAGCCATCGGTCTGAAATGGTATAGGGCTTCCTGCCTGAGCATGGGTTGGACTAGAAGTCCTCCAAGGTCCCTTCCAACTCTGTTACAGGTAGCCATTTGGTGACTCTTCAAAGTTACAACGGCCCTGGAAAAAAAATCAGATCAGTTTTTGCAGCTAACTTAACAATCTTAACGTTTCACTGAAAAAACAGTCGCAAGGAAAGTCGTAACAAGGGGGGTGGGTCAAAGCTCACTTAGCACATGTTTCACTTAGCAACATCCATGCTGGGCTCAGCTGTGGTTGTAAGTTTGGGGACCGCCTGTATGTTCTTGTTACGTAACTTCCAGGCAGCAACTGGGTCCTTATATCCTTATCACCCTCTCCTGGCCTTTCGAGCTAGCAAAAACTCAAGGAAAAATCCAGGAGCCAGAGTGCCGCATATCCCCAACCCATTTCTTTCCAAAAAGGAGAGCTGAGAAGAGGCCTTTTCTTTAAAAACAAAGATAATAATAATCCAAGGCTGGCACAAAAGACAGACGGGGTCAACCAGCGCTCCTTTTGAATCCGACAAGCCTCCACTCAGCTAACAGTGTGCTGTGTCAGCTGCTGACGTCAGAGCCAGTCTGGAAATGGGATGCTTTGCAAGCTTTGTTATTTTAGATCTGAGCTGGCGGGAAGAGTTGCTGGACGGGAAGAGAGAGAGAGAGCTAGCTGCTCTCTCATTCCTTCTCTTCTTAGGCTGAGACTACGATGCTGGGCTAACCAGGGGGGTGATACGTGCCAGAAAACCTATGTACATACTCCAGAAAGCCATGAGGGTAAGGACAGATTTTTTGGTTTTTCTCCTTCCAAATCCTACCTTTCTTGCTTTTCTTCTTTCCTTTTTCCGCTCCCTTTCCAAGGGGCTAGCCGGTTATTTTTGAAACTCTGTTAAAAGAAATGTTGAATGAAAGAGAAACTTGATAGATTGAGCCTACTCTAGGCAAGTGGTTAAAAAGTCATGCATGGGAAGACTGTTAGCTATTCTGGCTTACCGTGAGAGAAACTCAATTTTTAAGGAGAGATTGGAGTTATTCTTTCTTTGGTCGGATTCCGTCCAGCAAATGTTTCGTTCTTGCTTCAAACTGACCTTTCTGGTTTGGCTTCGTCATTTGGCCGCCGGTTGGGTAAATAAACATAATAACAGGAGCCTTTGCAGTCCTTTGGAGGCAGCAAAAAAAAAAAAAAAAATGAAAAGAAAAGAAACACAAACGCATACGCCTTTGAAGGGTTTTATTTAGAAACAAGAGAGCTGAATTTTTGCATCTCTCTTGACAGCAAGCTAGACATAACAAGTGCAGGGACTTTTAGCTTCCATATGGGAAGGTGTGCAAACATTTTTTGGGGGGGTTGAAACCTTCTTAGCGTGCCAGAGTTCTCGCTAGCTTGTAACTGGAGGCTGTGCTTGTGTGCATTTTGCTCCGCTTCCTGGAAGAAAACAAAACCAAAAAAAAAAAAAAAAAGCTTGGGTACAACTGCAGACGGATGTTGTTCACTTGGGCACTTTTCCAACGTTCGCTTAGTTGGTTGAGGGTTCGCCCAGCGTATTTGCCCCCAAACTGTAGTGAATTGGCCAATTAAAAGGAGCCAGACAGCCCACTGTTTGCAACGTTTCTCTCTTAAGGCTGCCTCTCCCAGATGTGGGGAACAAGTGCAAGCTTCTTGGGGCAAGGAGGTCTTTGTTCATTAACCCAGATGTAGAAAAAAAAGGAAAGATGTAGCTCAGTTTTCTGATAACCTTTGAAGCCACTGACTCCGTGCCTGTAGCTCAAAGAGAATTCAAAAGCTGCCGATGAATGGAGGATGAACATCTCAAAGCAATTGCTGTATTCGAATAAATAGAATAACAGAGTTGGAAGGGACCTTGGAGGTCATCTAGTCCAACCCCCATCTCAAGCAGGAAAACCTATACCATTTCAGACAAGTGGCTGTCCAGTCTCTTCTTAAAAACTTCCAGTGTTGGAGCATTCACCGCTTCTGGAGGCAGGTTGTTCCACTGGTTAATTGTTCTCGCTGTCAGGAAGTTTCTCCTTAGTTCTAGGTTGCTTCTCTCCTTGATTAGTTCCCATCCATTGCTTCATGTCCTGCCTCCAGGTGCTTTGGAGAAGAGCTTGACTCCTTTTCTTTGGGGCAGCCCCTGAGATATTGGAACACTGCATTGCCAGAGCCATCTAATCAGAAATTGTCCCTGTGGTTTGCCTTACACTGACAATGGAGAGGTTGCTAATCAGCTAGACTCCTGCCTACAAGAATATGCTTCAAACAAACCACAGATGGCTGTTTCCTAGGCACATGGGCAGGGGTTGAGACATTGGCTGGTAAACCACACTTAGGGCTTGTCACACGTGCTGAGCAACGTGTGCCAGTTTTATCTCAGGGGACCTTGTCAAAGAAAGACTTGGATGGTTCCCAGAGATTAAACAACGGATGGCAGTTAAAACCAGGTGGTGTTTTTTCTCTCTCTCTCTTTCTTTCCTTTGAGATCCTCTGTGGAAGAGAGAGACAACTAAAGTTGAACCCGTGTAGGAAGCGAACTAAATCGACCTCCTTCAAGGTTGCTGATCGGAATCTTCCATTTATTAAATTTTTTTATACTCCCTGATCTCACTGATACAACAACTTGGCTTACAACGTAATTTAAAAAAAAGTACAAAAAAAAGATAATTACAAAGCAATTAAAATTCAGAGGATTAAGTCGAAAGCTCAACATCACAAGGTTTAGTCGTTTCTTCTTCACACATAATATGGAGAGCATTAAGAAGGGCAAAGATCCTGAGATGTTTGCAGATGTTTGATAGAAGGTAGTTTCAGGAATATTTGGGTTTCTATTGTATTTGCAGAAAACAACAAGAATTAAGATAAAATGCATCCATGGCGGGATCTGAGTTGTGCAAGTGTTTTTATAATTAGAGTGTAGAGGTTTGTGTAGCTACAAGCGGCAGTGTGGGAGTTTGCCCTTTTCTGCCCTTGCATTTGTTATTTACATGTTAGAATAGAATAGAGCTAGAAGGGACCTTGGAGGTCTTCTAGTCCAGTGCCCTGCTCAAGCAGGAGACTCTACCCTTTCAGACAAATGACTGTCCAGTCTCTTCTTAAAAACCTCCAGTGATGGAGCATCCACAACCTCTGGAGGCAAACTGTTCCACTGGTTAATTGTTTTCAACTGGTTAACTGAGTTACCCAAATGAGCTAATCAACATGTTGGCAAAAGCAGATTCTTGCTTTCCTTCAGGAGCTCATGGCTCCTTCAATGTTATCCACAACCACAGCCCTGTAAAGTAGGCTGGGCTGAGAAAGAGCACCTGCTTCAGAGCAGTGACTGAAGTTGGGTTTTGGTCTAAACCAATGGTTCTCAACCTGTGGGTCGGGACCCCATTTGGGGTCGAACAACCATTTCACGGGGGTCGCCAAACAAGGCTGTCTGCCATTTTTTTCCCCTTTTCTTTGGCCACGCCCCTGGCACCTGGTGATATATAAGTGGTTGGGGGTCACCACAACATGGGGAACTGTATTATGGGGTCGCGGCATTAGAAAGGTTGAGAACCAAACCCAATATCCTTCCACCACTCTGTCTCTCAATTCTTAGCTGATCTCCTCATTCAAGTCTTCTTGCATGAGTGGGATTTTTTGATAAACAACTGAGGGAACCAGATGTGTCTGGTCTAATGAAGTGAAAGAGTAGGGATGACTTGATGGTAGTCTTCCAATACTTGAAGGACTATCACAAAAAAAGAGGGGGGGAGAACCTCTTCTCCAAAGCTTGTGAAGACAGGAAAAGGGTTATCAAAGGGAGAGCCAACCTAGAATTAAGGAGAAATTTCCTGATGCTGAGAACAATCCATCAGTGAAAGGGCTTGCCTCCAGAAATTGTGGATGCTCCAACACTGGAGATCTTTAAGAAGAGACTGGACAACCATTTGTCTGAAATGGTATAGGGTTTCTTGCCTGAGCAAGGGGTTGGACTAGATGACCTCCAAGGTCCCTTCCAACTTTATCATTATTATTGTTGTTGTTGTTGTTGTTGTTGTTGTTATTCCTTGGAACCAAGGGAATCCCAGATCTTTAACATGGACTGGAATTTTATTTTTAAAAAAAACCTAGTAGTAGATCAATTTTCCTGTATAGCTGTATAAAGTCATGTGACAGTGAAATGGGCAGTATATCAATTTAATAAATATGTAACCCCCCCCCCAAAAAAAAATGGCATGGATACATCCATGAAGTTACAGCAGTGGCCAAAATTGTGGAAACCTTTTGGGAAAAGTGTATTTTTGAGGTTGGATGGCTAATAATAACACCACATTTTGGAGGGGAGTAGTACCATCAAATTATATATCAGTGGAAAAATAATTTAATCAAGAATGTAATGCAACAAAGTTTGTTCAATTATCTGTACTGTATTCTGCGAAAAGTTATAGCCAAATAGCCAGAAAAAGGGAGCACAGCTTGCTTAGGTCGATATCAAGTAGTTTTCTTTCATCTGATTGTAGCCAATGAGCATGAATGTTTGGAGAGCCAATCAGGTGTCATCTTGCTTTGGCAATGAGCCAATCAGATCACAGTAGGATCCAGTTATCAATGTCATGTATTGAAGCAGAGAGGAGGACATTGGTCAGTGTGTTATGCGATGGCTATCAAGTTGGTTGGGTTTTTTTGTGTTCTTTCATTGAGTGAGCTTGTAAAACATAACAAAATCAAAGTCATGGTGCAAAGAGTTGACCGGTTGCCCAGAAAGCGATGTAAAACAGTATTATTAAGTGAACAAGGCTACAGTGATAAAGAAATTGGAAGAAAAATGGGTGGAAACTTAACCAAAGGTGGCATTTCTACTGTACACTTTTCCCAAAAGATTTCCACCATTTTGGCCACTACTGTATGCAAATTCCTGGGCTGTTTAAGGCATATCTTTACCAGTGCCTGCTGGAGGAGATCCATCTTGCCTTCTGTTTTCAACAATAGCCAGCTAGGTAATTTTGTGTCTGGGACATTTAATGGCTATGAATGGAAGAGCCCTTACTGGGTGACCTGTCTGACATCAGCCTCTTCTATAGAAAAGCTGCTTCCCTGAGCTGTCAGAGCTAAGAGCCTCTTACAGACTCATCTTTGTCAGAGAACGATGCAACTCCGCAGACAGTCAAAACTTTGCAGCAGTCAAACAAGAGGAAAACGTCAGCAAGCTCAGAGCAAAATGAAGGGTTGTAGGACTAAAACATATGAAGGACGGCTGCGGGACTTGGGTTTGGCTAGTTTAAAGAAAAGAAGAAACGGGGGTGACATGATAGCAGTATTCCAGTATTTGAGGGGCTGCCACAAAGAGGAGGGGGTCACGTTACTCTCCAAAGCACCAGAGGGCAGGATGAGAAACAATGGTTGGAAACTGACCAAAGAGAGAAGCAACCTGGAATTTTAAGGAGAAACTTCCTAACAGTGAGGACAATTAACCAGTGGAACAACCTGCCTCCAGAAGCAGTGAATGCTCCAACACTGGAAGTCTTTAAGAAGAGATTAGAAGGCCATTTCTCTGAAATGGTATAGGTTCTCCTGATTCAGCTGGACTAGAAGACCTCCAAGGTCCCTTCCAGCTCTATTCTATTTCAGCAGAGTCAATATATCGAGGGAGGGAGGATCAAAATACACCCCTGGTCAACAACAGCCCATTCCAAGGACCCAGGATGTCAAGAATCAATTGGAAAATGGAATGGAGAAATGTATATGAGGGTACAACATAGAATCATAGGGCTGGAATGGACCTTGGAGGTCTTCTGGTCCAACCCCCTGCTCAAGGTAGGAGATCTTACACCATCCCATACACCAGCGGTTCTCAACCTTTGGGTCGCGACCCCATTTGGGGTTGAACGACCATTTTACGGTGGTCGCCAAACAACGCGATCCACCATTTTTTCCCCTCAGGGGGCGCCGCCGCGCATGCACGGCGCATCCTTATGACTGGGGTCGTTGTATAAAAAGGTTGAAAACCACTGCCCTACATCATCCCAGTCAAATGGCTGTCCAGTCTCTTCTTGAAAACCTTCAGGGATGGAGCACCCACAACTCCAGGAAGGAAGCTATTCCATTGGTTATTTGTTCTTACTGTCAGGAAATTTCTCCTTAGTTCTAGGATGGATGACTCTTTCATGATTTTCCATCCATTACCTCTTGTCCTGCTCTCAGGTGCTTTGGAGAAGAAGTCAGTCACCTCTTCCTCTGTGACAGTCCCCGTCATGTACTGGGAGACTGCTCTCGTACTGTTGAAGACGGATGACACTTTTGTGAAACTGCGTGGCAAGATCAGGAATGACAGAAGGGCTCCTTCATAGGAGTACGGGAAGGTGGACAATGTAGAAATTGACCTTCTAGACCAGACAGGTTCTGCATTGTCCACCTTCACAAAGTCCTATGAAGAAGGGTCCTTGGTGTTCTCTGAGCTTGGTTGTTTTGTTGAAGACATTTCATTACCTAAACTAGGTACCATCATCATGTTAATACTGATGATGTTACCTAGTTGGGTAATGAAACATCTGCAAGAAAACAAGAAAGCTCAGAGAGCACCAAGGACCTCACAATCCTCCTCCTCCTTTCTGGAAACCCCATTCTCTTCTAGAACTGATGATGTTACCTAGTTGGGTGAAGAAACATCTGCAAGAAAACAAGCAAGCTCAGAGAGCACCAAAGACCTCACAGTCCTCCTCCTCCTCCTCCTCCTCCTCCTCCTCCTCCTCCTCCTCCTCCTCCTCCTCCTTCTTCTTCTTCTTCTTCTTCTTCTTCTTCTTCTTCTTCTTCTTCTTCTTCGTTCTTCTTCTTCTTCTTCTTCTTCTTCTTCTTCTTCTTCTTCTTCTTCTTCTCCTCCTCCTTCTCCTTCTCCTTCTTTCTGGAAACCTTATTCTCTTCTAGAACTCATGATGTTACCTAGTTGGGTAATGAAACATCTGCAAGAAAACAAGCAAGCTCA